ATCTCTATTTATTATACATGAATACTTATTTTACTATATAAAGCCTAATTTATAAAAATACGTAGATTTTACTTAGTTAACAAATGGAAGACACTGAAGATTCTTTAATTGACATTGGTACTGGGAGCTAATATAATTAACACTAAAACTTTCGTGTTCAGAGAATGATAGTAGGTCACCTAGCCTACGATATCCTAACTCTCTCTAGTAAAATAGCTATTTAAAGGTTTATTGATTTTATCAATGAAATGTTTTTATTTAACATTAAAACAAATATTATCACAAATATTTAATTACGAAAACGCATACACTGGACTCAATGAAAACAAAATAATACACCCCAAAATGCCCAGATAACTACTCGACTACTGAGGTTAAACAACTATTCTTAAAACTATATGGATTTCATAACAATTGACAAAAAAATATTTTCTTTGTTATGTCATTACATTAAATATTTACATAATTCAATTATTTCTTTTGCAGTTTAAATACAATGCCAAGTGGAGGATTACCAACAGGTTACCTCACTAAAAGAAAAACTGATAAGGTAACTGATAATATAGTTCTATCAAAGGAGATTTTTCATTAATGTAGGTAGGTAATATTAATTCTTATTTAAGTATGAGAAAATTTGAAATTCATTTGATGACAGCTAACACAGTTTTATAGATTTTTTTGTAAGATTTACTCAAGCAAGTTTTGTATGAATGTACTTACATATAATACCTTCAACTAATTCTTATCATATTTGTACAACTCTAGTTGTGTCATACAAATTTATTATTGTAACTGCTTAAAGCAAAATCTTGTTTCATTCAATGATGTTATTCCAGTAGTAGATATGTATGTATATTTGTTATAACAAAACTTAGTTTCTACTCACATTAGAAAACACCTATTATAGTTGCGTATACAGAAACATATAAATTATAACACTAATTACACAATTTTGTTAAGATTGGCCATTCGAATTATGTTTTTTTAGACACCGACATAAATAAGCTGCTGCCTCATTGTTTTACGCGTTCGTTCGTGCGTATACAAATCGTGAACGCTTGGGAACGACTGATTTTTATGCTGTTCAAATTACTATAACACTCAACTATCAGTTAGAAAAGTTTACAATTACGTAACAAAATAACATAATTATGAAAACTATAATGAAAGCTAGGACATAAACTTGTATGATCAAAAACAAACAAAAAAAATGTAATCTAATGTTTATATGCGTTTATAATGATCTTGTTTTATTAATTATATAATTTTTTGTTATTATTGATATATTTATTCAATTATCTCCCTAGCAATGAGTCTAGCTATAGGATAGGTACAATATCTTAGCGATGTCATGGCGATATTAAGTTTATTAATTTTGACATCAGTGTTACCAAATGAGTCGTATAATAACAAAAAAAAATGGAAGTAGTAAAATAACACGAAATATCGTCTTAACATAGCTGAGATAAGTAAGGCGGTCGCATTCCAGGGGCTGCACACTCGACAAGAGCTTGCAATCGTAACCTTATCGGATTTAGTCGGGTGCCAATCTCTACAGTTAAGTATATTGTTATTAGTTGCCGAATGCAACTGTCCAAATAAAACCAATATTGTCAGTTTGCTATCTATCTAGTTCGGGAGCTCGGTCAGTAAAGTCTGCAATCGCTACTAAACGATCACTAATCAATGTCGAGACAGCAAGCCCGAAGTTAGGCACCCCTGCACGCGTAGTGTGACAAACTCGAGACGCGTTTCGCCTACACGAAATATCACTGTTCTCGGATCGAGAATTTGTCATATTACGTGTACTGGTTGCCCGATTTATTTGACAATTTGTTTGGCCCGCGGATGCCTGAGGGCCGTGTGGAGATCTGCCCATAGTGCAGCGACGCGAGCGTGCGCGGTGCCCTGCGTACGAAACAACTCCGGCAGAGATTCTAGAGCGGCCAACGCGTATGCGCGGCTCACACGAGCCTCCTATACTCGACAAATACAAAATATTTTTAATTATCAACCTACAGGCTTCTATATCATCATCAGCCCTTTTACGTGCCTATTGCAGGGGCTTAAGCCTTCCTTATGGATGGTTAAGGATGGGCCTGAACGCTGGCCCAATGCGGATTTGAGGATATTAACGAGTGCAAATGCAGCCGAGACCGACGGCTTAATGTAACTTGCGAAGCACGGAGTGGCTCGAGATAGCAATTTCTTGGTCGCTCACCCCATGACCGACCCATGCGGAAGTTGCTTAACGACAACAATCGGGGTCGACGAATCAAACTTGTCAATACGAGTCAAAAAATAACCAAACTGTAAGTAACCGTGACAGCTACATGAAATATATTTAAAAAAAATGTGTTAGGAAAGTATCATTCATATAATAAGTAGAAATCTAAATATAAATTTAATATTCACAATTTCGAAAACTCCAACTTCTGTCATGGCGTCGCTATGACGTCACACCCTTTTAAAACTTCATATCTTTCTATGTATACATAAGGTTTAATTCTGTGAGCACTGGCGTGTGGTGGGAGGAGCTACCCGCCCGATAAAATAGAATAAAATGGATCGACTCGACTTAATTACTTACTAAGCTACTCGACCAAATTTTTGTTATTCAGTTATACGCTTCTAGACTAAAATACTATCAAAGTGCAAATTAGGCTTAAATTGGTCACGTGACAACGAGCATAAAATATTTGTTTTTTCATAATTAATTTAAGCAATCGGTAATAGTATATCAAACACTACCAGAAGAAAAAAGTATTTATTTTCATTTACTGTCTACACCGGTATTAGTTCTGCCGTAGCTGTAGTAAAACTAACACGCCGAAATAATAAGAAAACTGAGTTTTTACCAAGACTGGACGTTACAAGACATTGTATGAGGTACCAAGCCAGCAAGCTATATAATGGTTTGCCGATAGAGTTTAAAAAAATTGACAGTCACCACATATTTCAAAACAAACTTAAATCATTTTTATTGGAGAAGTGCTACTATTCAATCGATGAGTACTTGAATGACAAAAATAAAAAACTTAACATTTTTTGTTTACCTATGATTGTTTTGACATTAGTTGAGCAACCTTGACATTGATATATTTGTAATTTGCATGTGGAATTTTATTTCGTTTCATAATTTGATCTTATTATTGTGGTTGTGTTTATTTATTGTAATTTCCGATACAATGAATATTGTTTTATGGAATAAATGATGATGATGAGTTAATCTTCCGTCTAAGTAAGATTAAAATAGTAGTGTATACCTCTAGCGAGCAGCGCATCGCGTACCGGTGCCTCTCGCGCAGCAGCTGCGAGGCGGCCGAGTGCGGCGCGGCGGCGGCGGCCGCGGCGCGCTCCGCGTGCAGCCCGCGCGTCAGCCGACCGCACAACTCCCTACATCATCACATCACCAGCCCTTTTACGTCCCCACTGCAGGGGCTCAGGCCTTCCTTATGGATGGTTAAGGAGGATGGGCCATGACCCTCCACGCTGGCCCAATGCGGATTGGAGGGTATTAACGACTGCAAATGCAGCCGGGACCAACGGCTTAACGTGCCTTCCGAAGCACGGAGTAGCTCGAGATAATAATTTTTTGGTCACCCATCCCGTGACCGACCCTTGCGAAAGTTGCTTAACGACAATGATCGCGGGCCGCGGCGCTTATCCACTACGCCACCGAGCTACACCAACTCCCTACACACCAACGTTAAGCGAGGAATTCTCTAGATAGGCATGCCTGTCACAAGCAGTCTGCCACGGACCTACACTAGTCAAACATGACCCAGACCTATAGTAACGAGGTCTGGCAGGCATATCTGCAGACTTGCCCGCGGGCATGCCTGTCTAGTGAATTCCCCGCTTTACACCTCATATCGACCGAGCTTAAGGCGAGATTTCACGGAATTACCACTTTTTAGACTAATTTTATTCTAAGACTACGAGCATATATGCCTAGTAAAAATCCTTTTATGAAAATTAAACATGATCGATGATATTTGATTGTATAAGACGGGTATTAACGCGATAGATTTCGATAGTTAGGTTTTTTCACCTACCTATATTTCCCGACGTTTCGACCAGGTTACACCGGCAGACTGTTTAAAAGTTTATATATGAGCGATGATTTGCTAAATACAGATACAAATGGCAATGACAGAAAAAATCGCAGACTCTTAACAGGTTTTTGAGTCGATTTTACGACTAATATATTTCATCTTAAATTTATACAAAAGTAGGTTTTGATATAATCTTAAATCACCAAAAAGATTTTTTTTATAACACCGTTTATTTTTTCTTGTGATTAAAAATATATGAAATCGAGCGAGCTTGTCTTTACTCTCGATGCGTATTTATATGGGAACGTAATCGGAGGTACAAGAAGGGCTTAAGAAAAGACTAATGTAGGTACACCGATTATGGACTTTGCTTTGCTGGTCTGAAAATGTTGTGCTTTTGAATGCCAAAGGCATGGACTCGTGTTCAAAGAACACAAATTACTGCATTTTTTAATTTCACATAATTAGAGCAAACATGATCAGTTTGCCATGTCATAACGCCCCCGAAATATGGACACAGACAAAATTCTCACAGTAATAAATAATAACCGCCATCCGACCAAAATGTCAAACTAAACTAACATCACAAATACGACAATTTTTTTACCAATAGAACAATAACCAGCAATTAAACACCTGCAGGCGAATATCTTCACAGTAATACAGACAGCGAAGTGGTCAGTTTCGCAATGGCCAATCATAGGATGAGAAACCAGAAATGTATTATCTCTCCATGATTCGTAAGGCACATTCCGACTGCATCGGTAGTCCTTAACACACACTGATCTGCACCAGGTCTTCATCACACATTCTCCCTATTCGTTTCGATTCCAATCACAAACAAGGTCTTTGTCTCATTAATAGGCTGATAATCATTAAGCAGGGAAACTGGCTAGCTACCCCTAAGTTAGAAAGTGAAAGAAGATCGTAGTACTCTGTCGATATCTATTCGCGCATGCATAAATTGGGCGGAAAGGGCATATATCAGAACCATAGATTTATTTATGAACAGAATAATTCCACAGTTTATTTATTACTTTATTGCTATTCTAAACTTACTTTTATATAGGCCTAATCTTACCTATATCCACCCAGTGCATCAAGCGCGAGCAACACCTTGCAACCTGAACCGTCTTCTGTGAAGTCTAATTCGTCTTGTGGAGAATCACTCATTTCCGTCACCAAACTAGAAACCAAATATAAACATAAATTGGGATGCATTTAAATTATTCAGATACGGAAATATCCAATTGGTAAATGTACAATCCTTATCAACGGTTATCACAAGTGTAGGTATCAAGTTCTATATGTGTATCCTATTCACAGCAAATTAAACCGTTTATTCGATAATAAACATTATACTAATATAGAGCAGGCGTAATTCATTTACCGAGATGATCTTTACAGCAAATTTCATTATAACGCAAATATTACTCCTGGTCCTTCGAGCCGGATATTATTAAGTTATTACTCAAAAAACTCACTTATTTTTTATGTAAGTTAATACAACAGGTACTCACTCCGCAGCAGCTTTCATCGCTTCCTTAGCATGAGACCACCTCGGTCCATCGGCAACTGACGGCGTCGATAATGCGTTTAAACCGGCCCCCATTTCTCGTATATCAGCTCGTTCAGCTTCACACCTACCTTCCACTAGTATCAAAGAAATATAATTGTAAATAAAAAATCCAAGCAACAATCCTTGAGCATCCAGCTTAAAGGACCAACCTCTCTCGAATATTTGATATATCCTGCTTATCCCCAACTGCGCTAAGCGTAGTTGTTCTTGATCAGTGGAGAATGTAGCCTGCATCTCATCTGTTGACATGTCTCTCTGAAACAGTCCAATCAGTTAAATAAATCACCATGACCTTAAGCGCCATTAAATGTTGATGTTAGGCGGTATATTAGTCGATATCCACTTTTATTCAGCTACTAAATAAACAATTAAGACCTTATAAAAACAAACTATCAAAGTACTTACCGAATTATCTTGCTGAGTGCCCGCCAGCACAAACTCATCATGTTTGGGCTTGTCTAGTCTGACAGTTGCTTCACACAAAAAACTACGCAAGTCTGCGTCATGTGCTAAAACTGGGTGGCGGGCTACTAGAGTCAACCAGCGCTGCAACGCCGCTCTCCTTCGCTGAAGAAAACGGGGACTGCCGCCATTAACGACCATTCGTTTTGGTGGCAAACGACAGACTGACCTACAGAAGCAGGTAGATTGAATAAATGATTCCATTTGATTTAAAATAACCCAAAACATACAGAAGTCACCAATATTCCTATAATGCTATATATAATTATCTAGCAAATGAATTTATGTTCACTTTCATAGAAACAGATGATTATACATACACCAATCATCAAACAAATGAAAATTGTTTTTCACAACTCTATTAATAATATAATTACTAGATTGCACTTGTGAAAGCAGTAAATAATATTTTGCTATCTAATCCAAAACTATTGTGTGTTATTTCTGTTTTGTCATTCCTTTTCAACTATTTATGTAAGTATTTGACCTATTAGACGGAGAGTTTGTGACAAAACAAGAGCTTTCTAAAGCTTGACATTTCAGTACAGTAATACCCCGACTTACACTACTCCGTTTTACGCGAATTCGGAGATACGCGGTTTTTCTTTCTGAACTCACGCGCATCGGTTAGTTCAGTTTACGACTAGTTTGAACGTGTTCCGTGTGGAATTGTTTTACTAATGCAGAGCACATCTAAAAGACCAAATAATTAATCACTTGATCCTGACAAGGAAATGGAAAACACTGGTTTTAGAGAGTAAACTAAATACCTATTATTAAAGACTTTTAGGATCTCAATCAAAAACTAACAATTGACAAGTGAGCATAATCAAGACATTAAACAAACTGTTTCGTTCGTTACACCCTGTTGAAACGGAAATTCAAATGATGATTTCATATTTCACTAATGGTAGACCCCAGTACAAATGAAAATTTTACTACAAACTCTTAAAAAAATTAATTCCAATTAAGAGCATATCTACTACAACACTGGGAAATAACAAAAGTTGTTTCACTTTCAAATATTTTAGTAAACATGTTTCTTCTAAATTATTGTTTTCTTAAGACTCTAGTCCGGATTACACAAAATTTATACATATTTATATGGGAAGTTGAAACCTGACTTATGGGAATTCCACTTACAATGCAAGTTCTTGATGCCACTTATTGCGTAAGTTCGAGGTATTACTGTATGTTAAAGTATTGAGGGGATACATTACTTAGGAGGCGGTGCAAAATAAACTTTGGGGGTACTAAAATGACGGAACAGTGCAGTGGAATCTAGTGCAAAGAGAGCACCATACCATATTTGTGTTTTGATGTTTTGCAACTAACTTGTCAATTCAACAATATATTTTTTTACTTATCCATAGATATAACAAATAAATATATAAATTACAAGTAATTAAATTTGGTAAAATGAAGAATACAATATACAATATGAAGTTATGAAAGTATTAATTAAAAGCAATTGATGCTTACTAATGAGGTAATTCAGCTCATCTCACAGTTGAGCACAATTGTGTAAATGCTTAATGATAAAAGTATCTGTTTAATTTATCATGTACTCTACCATAACACTTTGCTTTAATATAAAATATTTTACACAAAATGCACATAAAAACTATCAAAACATTTATACTTCTATTTTTTGGAAAATAAATTATGCTCTCCAGTTTTTCATAAAAATAAAACTTTGTTTATAATAATTACACTAATAAAATTTAATATTGGTGTTCAATATACATAACTTACCGGTATGGGTATTTAGCGAATAATACATCCTGTAGCTGTGCAAAATCATTATATCTCCTAGTTACTGTTGTTCCATGTCTGCGAGAACTGACAAAGTATTCACAATGCTTTAGAATAAGCCCTTTACGCTCAGGGATAAGCTCCACACAAATCACATCTGTTGCTTCTAAATCTTCAAATGTTATTGTATCTGTGCTAGTATCGTTCATTATGTGCTACAAAAAAGACAGAACAATCTATCATAAAAAAAATAAAAAATATAATTGAAATTGTGAATGCCAAATATATCTAATAATATAACGAGATGCTACGGCAGTTGCAAAGCAATGTTAGTATATAAATAATAAATATTGTTTACTTAATACCATGGCGAAAAGTAAGCTGAGTAAACAATTATTCAAGTAGGTATGTTACGTTGTTACAAAAAATAAAGGAAAATGTAGAATTAGTGTTAAAAATCACATAAACAGATAATACAATTAACTGTAATAAATATTTTATTAAAGTTAACTTACTTTTGTGTTTCATCAATATCTAAATTATAATTAAGTAGGGCATTCGCAACAAGCAGATCGTAATATGAATCCACTTCTAAACTTTCCCAAGTGGATACTTCTTGTACAGAGCAACTGAAATATTTTTAAAGACAATGAAAAAAATTGTCTGTTGAACGAATACTATTAAATCGGGTACCCGGACACGTAAACGAGTTTTTTTTACACTACGCATGCGCTTGCGCAGATAAACCACCCGTCTTGCTGTCACTGTCACACTGTAATTTGTGCTGTCCTGTCACACTGAGTGTACTGTCACTATCAATGTCATAAAACCATTGACTTATTCTGTAAGCGGATTGAAACGTATCGATATATCGACGCCATTCAGTATCGATTAAAAAAAATAACAATATCGTTAAATTGATATCAAAAATCTTAAAGTATTTAAAAAAAAAATTCCAATATATCTAAACCTAATATCCAATGAAGTCCAAAAAATTCACCGTTAACTTTCCATGTCACCGTTTGCCGAAAACAATCTGACATCACAGCTTTTATAGTATTGTACACTCGCGAGCAAAAGTCTGGAATCACTTACTTGAAATTAATTTCGCGAGATCCTGTGTACTAAATATTTTTTTTATAATTATAAAAGTGACATAATTTAAAAGGTTAAACTCTTAACTTTAAACTGATACCGAATTCATTAAAATCAAATTGAAGGAATAACGAAAAAGACTTATTTCAATTGTTTGATACGTCGCCAGTTGCGTGCTATTGACCCCCTATAAAAGCACCTGTTATGGGATATTCTTTATCAGTCAACTTTCACAGGTCGACCAGTACACATCTCCGCTACTTTTGACCCTTTACAATGGAGACAACATCTACAGAAGTAGCACAAATCGTATTCCTATTGCAAGTACGACTCAGCCAGCGGTTTTCACTGCAAGAAGGATATTCGTGGGGTCGCAGCCAGCGAGTGGACAGTTCGTTGACGACTCAAGCAAGCGAATCTGGCTTCAAAAAGGCCTGCCACAGGCCCGAAACTCACGGCAGCTCACCGACAAGCACGCCTTTAATTTTCTTGAACCCATCTCGATTAGGAGGTTGAGCAATGGAGGCAAGTCCTGTTCTCCGACGAGAGCAAGATGTGTTTGCACGGTAGCGATCGAAGAGGTCGGGTCTAGAAGCGGCCTGGGGAGCGATTTGCGCAGTGCTTTTTTACTGACACAGTGGCTTATACCTCCTTTCCTTTCCTTAATTCGGGATAGCTCCATAATTACTGGCTCGATTTTAATAAATTTGGTATCAATTTAAAGTTGACAGTTGAACCTTTAAAATGATGTCATTTTTATGATAATTAATTATTTAGTAAGCAAGATCGCGTGGAACCAATTTCAAGTAAGCGATTACAGACTTTTGCTCGTGAGTGTCTTATCAACTTTTTGGCCGACTTGTTCTTTACTTCTTTCTTCGATAAAAGACGATTATGATGTTTACAAAATATCCAAATAAATTATCCAAAATTACAAAATATCGACAAACTTATGTGAAAATACCGTTGCTTGCTGTCTGCGTTCAAAATGTGAAATGCTTTATGACTACCCTAGAGTAATCAAAAGTCGTAATCTCGTAATTACTTCCCATGATTTCGATGCAAGTTGATTGCAGATATTTATATTAGTACGGCATTTGAATATAAAAGCTTGTCCATATTCTTGTATTTTTTTTATTGAAAAATACTTTATTCAAATAGGCTTGTTACCACAATATTCATATTTCCGAAATGGATTTCGACCTCTACTTTAAATATCTTAATGTTTGAAATCAAGCGGGAAGATTTGATAGTTTTGTAAAGTCTGAAATGCAGTTGAAGTCTGAAATTTATTTAGTCAGGTATAGAACAAAGGCTATTAATTCCATGAATTGTCGTCCTTTAAATAATTACAGCATTTACTAATAAGGATGTTGTATGTTCTTTACATGATTTTTAAATTTATTTGGTTGTTTTTTTCGAAATTGAAAATCAGCTTTGATTCATCCGTCATTACTGTTATTCAATCTGATTCATAGTTTCATAAAAATCGGTGACATCAGTATGTTACGATATTGGATTCTATATAGATTTTGAATTAAAAAAAAAATTTTCGGCCGTATTCATTATTTTTGAACAAAGGAGTATCAAACCAGAACTTAAATTTCAGAAGAAACACCCATTTACAGTTAGGTCGATCATTATTTTATTTTATAGAAATTGCAAGAGTAGACCCTGGTTATACTAAGATTATACTCGTACATACTTATTATTTTGAAAATAGCCAGCTTCTATAAGGTGCCGTCTTGCAATATAAAACGCTCCAGTTTCTATTAATTCTCCACTCCAATCTTGTCTTCTCGGTCTTGCAAACAGCTTAAAATTAATTGGAAATACATATTTTTTGTCTTCTCTCCAACGAAGTTTGAAACTTCTACAATAAGAAACTACGACTTTAATCATGTTCTTCTGAACAATTGGTACCTGTTTTAATATTAATAAGCTCTAATCACTGATAATTTAAAACTACATTTAAAGACGTACCTGACGGTCGAAAAAACGCAGTCGTATGGCTCAGGACGATTTATTTTTTCAAGTGCATTTCTCAATCGATTCGGTGACGTAAATGGGGAAGTGGTTTGCAAAAGCACTAGTATACTGATCTCAGTTCTATTTGCCATAAATTCCAATGCGCCCCAAATAGAAGGTGCCCAATCGCTTGCCGTTAACGAGCTTCGATGAAACAAATGGACTCCACCTTAGTAAAGTAGATCAATATTTTTCTTATAAAAAACTTTTTTTAAAAGAACGAGTATCTATAATGTATTTTAGGAGGTTACGATCCCGTATCGGATTAGATCCCACTGGCAACTGAGAGTAGATTTTTTAAATTGCTATTTTCTATTATGGTAAGTGGAAACATAATTTTGTGTTGTGGCGCGAGAGAATATATCCGTTCCTTAATAATGTGTAAAACAGTATAAAGCTATAACAACGACATAAAAGGACTCGTATAAATATGTTTCTACTTAAGTTTTCAAATAATAATAAAGTAATTTATTGATCTCAGATATATATACGTAGCGACGCAAAAATGTGTCTCAGAATTTTTATTTTGAATTTACTTAACTTTTTATAGCTTCCAATGCGATCAAAGGGTGATCAGTAGATATTGTGATATCGGACAGACCAGCATCTTTTGCAGTGTTTATGGCGCGGCTTAATAGCGTCACGTTGCCAACAGTCTCTAAATTCTTTAAGGGGATTCCTTTAGAACCTCCTCTTGCCAATATCAGGACGGCAGGTTTAGCTTTTACAGATGCAGTGTAACTATGCGAAAATATAAATAAATATAAGAATGATTTTAATCAGAACCCGTGAATTACGTTACAATAAACTGAATATCATTATATTAAATAAAAAAAAGATGAAAATATCAAATATATGTATGTATTTAATAGGGATGATGACTAATTTTTGTTTGTTTTTCCGTCAGGTAGTGTTAAAAAATATTAAACACGTATTTTTTTATTTTTTTCGTAATCATAAAATTACGGCGTTACATTGAGTTGAAATCTCGCATGACGTCACGTTAGGGTAGGTTTTCTACTCAACTGTGACGTAGCGAGCCCCCACTCCTCAACTTTAATGCCTGTTATCTAAGCTATTTCTTGTTAAATTGAAGTAAAAAAAATACATATCTAATATCTTTCTATTATCGGATTGACGGACTAAATATAATTGCATTTTTTTTACCCAGTCATCATCCCTATTGTACTCATTTAAAACTCTAATTATTAAAAATATTATGGGCAAAATGTGAATCACGTGTGAATAGATTGACAACCGTGATTGCAAAAAAGGTTCGATAAACAATAAAAAGAAAACACATTATAAACAATGACATAAAACTTTTATGAAATAAATTAAGAAGTCACGATTATAATGTGATTATAATAGTCAGACAGGCTTTTAACCACAGCTTTTAACCCTATAAACAATCTCAATAATAAAAAAGTATTTAAGTTAGTACTAAAAATAAAAGACAACTTACCTAAGGAGGGACAATAACAACGTAACACTTCTTAACCGCATATCTCTGACCAGTGGTTCTATTGTAGAGATCAAACGTAACTCTCAATAGGAGCGTACTCCTCCAGCACCATCAATAGTCTAATAATCGATGATTTCCTTTTACGTATTGAGCAATTTGATAGCCAAGGATGGAAAAAGTACAACAGTAGAAAATACGCAAAGTATTATTCTAAAAAAGTATTTTTTAAAGTAAGAGGCTACTATCAGTTTAGGTAAGTATTTGCAATCACTCCGTCATCCAAAGTAAAAAAAAAGTACCTGTATGCAATCATTTTAGTTATAGTCTAATCAGTTATAACAACTATTTATGTTAGTCTAATCAGTTAGAAAGGTCGAACCTACCGACTTACCCGACTTCAAAAAGGAAACTATTAATTTGACCTGGTTAATTAAAAAAGATTTCTATAATCTTCCATAATAGTAATAAAAATATAGAGCGCTCTTCATCCGCGCTAAGGGGCTCACAACAATGTACCTAAGTGCTAATTTGTAACCAAAAATGCCAATTATTAATTTATGTATGAAAATGTTCTGTTTTTGGTTTGAATGAAAATTATTATTATTGTATCCTAATCTTTTAGATTTTTTTGTGAAAATCGATAAGTACGACAAAAGTATCAAAACAAAGGTTGATTTGTGTATTCTCCCTCCTTCCTCCCTCTTAGTTATTCTATGATTATATAAGTTCCATTCTAATTCTATGCTTTTACACTTACACTTTAGATCAATGGTTTGTATAAATTTTATTGCTTTTCGTTCTTATGGCAAAGAGCAAAGTATAGTATATGTATTTTGGGATTAAAGTCAATCAATTTCATTTATTTTTAATAAAATTTTGACGTAACTACATATAAAAGGAAGTTAAACAAAAGGTAGTATTTAGATTGTATTACTTAAAAAAATTTCTTATTTAAATTTTTACGATTTAAAACTAATAAAAAAATGGGAAGCCTATTAAAACAATGACAATTTAACTGAAAAATATTGGACTCCACTTTAGGCCTAAATGTGATTAGCCTTAATGGATGGCTCTTAAGTGCCATACACACGGTACTTGGTCAGAGCTCCAACCACCAATCATCTAATGGTTGGCCAACCCTATGGATACCCTATGGGAAGTATCCGCGTGTGCGCGAACGCATATGCACGCGTGAATGATTTGTTCTCGTCGCACGTTTTTATACAATAGCGCGCGAAACCATGATTTGCAGTCAACGTAGAGGTGCGAATGTTATTGAACGCGTTAACGATTTATTCTCGTAGTTTGTTAAATATGATCGTGTATTATTAACAATAGTTTAGTTCATTTTTATTTTAAATTATTTAGATTATAGGCAGTGGCGTAACTATACCGTCTGAGGCCCGTGGCAAATTCATCGGATATTCAATTTTTTACTAATTGCGTAATAATAAATGTCAGGAGTAAGAAGTGTCCTCTGACTGGGGGCCCCCTTCCAGCTGGAGGCCCGTGGCATTTTCCCGACTGGCCACCCTGTAGTTAAGCCACTGATTATATGGTGATTGTGTGAGTAAAATAAAAATTTATATTAAGAAAAAATATTAAAAGTATCATTTTTTGACAAGGTTATATGATAAATCTAGCCATGGTCACTTATTTGGCTGAATGGCTTAGTTCCTTCGCCTCACGAATATTTGTACTACCTGCGTAGACGAGACTGCCTGTGAATATAGTGTATGTCAAACTAAGGCTGTGATGTCAAATGTCAACCTATATTATTGCTCCATGGTGTATGTTTTATCTCGTATATTTAGGTTTAGTCCAGTGACTAGCAGTGACTAATAGTGATAATGCCGTCTGCAGAGGATTTGGAGAATGAAATAAAAAAAGTTGATAAAGAGTTGACGAAGATTGATGTCGAGATACGAAAATTAAAGAAAACTCAGGCCCAATTGCAGGATAGAAAAACTTCTTTGAAAAATTCATTAAATCAATTAAAGTCTGATACTTTGTCTAATGTGGACTGGGCTGGTACTGAATATGAATGGACCCAAGATGTTGATAATACTTTAAGAAACATCTTTAACTTAGATTCATTTAGGCCACAGCAACTAAGCGCAATTAATTCTACGCTTTCTGGTCAGCACTCAATCGTTGTCATGCCGACAGGTGCTGGTAAAAGTCTATGCTATCAATTACCGGCATTGGTAAAACCAGGTATTACTATTGTCATATCACCATTAGTCTCATTGATGGAAGATCAAGTGAGATCCCTAAAAAATAGGAACATTCCAGCCATGTTAATGACTAGTAGTAGTCCTAAAGAAGAAACTCAGGCTGCACTTAATCTGCTGAAAGACAAGGATACTAAAATCAAACTGCTGTATGTCACTCCGGAACGACTTGCTAAGAGTAAGAGGTTCATGTCAAACTTGCAAAAATGTCATGCTGATGGTAGATTGCAGAGGTTTGCTATAGATGAAGTGCATTGCTGTTCACAGTGGGGCCATGATTTCAGACCTGATTATAAGTTCCTTGGTATCCTCTCTAATATGTTTCAAAATGTGCCAATATTGGGATTAACAGCTACAGCTACAAGTCATGTATTAACAGATGTACAAAAAATTCTTAATATCCCAGGATGTTTAATTATAAAGTCTACATTTAATAGACCAAATTTATTTTACAAAATATTAGAGAAACCATCATCACAAGAGGATTGTCTGAATATCCTAGAGAAGCTTTTAAAATATAGATACAAAAATGAAACTGGTATTATATACACAAATAGTATTAAAGATTCTGAAGAATTGGCTAGTGGATTACGCAAAAAGGGCTTAAAAGTAGGTTGTTATCATGCAAATATGGAGGCTGAAGATAGATCTAAAGTACACCTAAAATGGCATGATAAACATTACCAAGCAATAGTGGCCACAGTTGCATTTGGCATGGGCATTGATAAACCTGATGTCAGGTTTGTTATTCACCACACTATAAGCAAATCTATGGAAAATTATTATCAAGAAAGCGGTAGAGCTGGAAGAGATGGCTTAAGAGCTGAATGCGTCACTTTATACAGGATGCAAGATATTTTCAAAATCAGTTCTATGGTCTTTTCCTCTGTTGGTGTTCTTGGACATTTGTATGGTATGGTTAAGTACTGTATCACTGGAAATATTTGCAGAAGAAAACTTATTGCAGAACATTTCAATGAAGATTGGGGCAGTGATGACTGTAATCAAATGTGTGATGTATGCTTTGAAAACAATATTAATACCAAAGAAATACGACTGGAATCTCATTGCAGGACCATTTCTAGTATATTAGATTATGCTGATCAACAAGATGTGAAGTTAACTGCTCAAAAACTACTTGATGCATGGTTTCTTAAAGGTCCAGTTAATCTAAGACATAAGGGTAAAAGTCCTGATATTCCAAGAATTTTAGGTGAAGATATAATTGCATTCTTATTGGTAGAAAATTATCTCGTAGAAGATTTCCATTTTACTGCTTACAGTACAATAAGCTATATTAAAAAGGGACCCAATATAGATTTTGCACAGGACTCCGATTTTGTTTTGAATATGCCAGTAAGGCGATATACAGCATTTGAATTGGAATCAAGAGCACCTAGTTGTACACTTGATAAAGACAGTATTAAGACGACATCTCAATCACTTAATAGTTATAATGATGAAAAAAATAAAACTGATTCAAAGAAAAGAACTATGAATGGTAGTGTTCCCAAATCCAAAAAAACAAAACTTATAATTATAGATGATGATAGTGATTATTAGTTTTATGTCTATAAAATAATAATTATTACTCCATATGTGCTTTCATTACATACATATTTATTATAAACCAAGACAATTTTTTCACATAATCATGTAGGTAATTTTACAAACAGTATCAAATTGTATAATAGGTGTACATATACTATTTACCAAAGTGGTAATTAAATATTAAACACGCCTCCTCGGTGAATACTGTAAAGGAGACAATCGAGTATAAGCATTAACATTTTCTTCCTTTGGTTGTTTTCTTGATGTATAGGAAGTAAATTTGGGTATCTCAGATTTTTTACTGTAATTTGAACCACCTGCAAACAAAAACAAAAACTTTAGAATTTTAAATATAAACATAATAATTTATTAAATATTGGTAACTGCATAGATACAGTAAAGTAATCTATTGAGCCTGTTGAGTTTTACTGTACATACAACTGAAGTGGCTATCTACCTGCACGTTATATTATACACCTTATGTTAATTGATGCTAATGCATACAGATAACGCAAGGGTGTTAGGCTCAGTTTCATTTTTTTTTTCGGCTCTTTACCTTAGGGGTTCGGAACCACCCTCCCAACGGGGGACGTCGGCGGTGAATACTTCATTGGATACCACACAGCCGGCTGTGTGGTTATGTCAGACTACTACTGACTAAACACCGCCTTGGACAGTTGGTTGCGTGCCCTGAAGGGGCAACGAACCTTCGACCGGAGCAACCGCCCCGCAAAGGAGGGGGGGGAAGTTTCATAGTAAATTTTTAATACTAATACAGTTATAGTACATTACGATATTAGTGCGTTATGATGGTTATAACATGCGAGGCGGAATTTCAGCCCGAGCCGAAGGCGAGGGCGTAATTGAGCCGAGCATGTTATAACCAGTAGGCACGTATATCGTACGACATTTTTTAACACATTTGCGAGGAAACAGAAAAAAAACATTAAATAAACTCAATCTGTGAATTACACTGTTGCTTTCCCGCCATTTTAACAGCGCGCTAGCGTTGCCTACTGACTGGCGCCGCGCGGCGATTAGTTGGAAATTTGAATAGCAACAGCGCGCGAAATGGCAAATAATACTGTTATGGAATTTCTATGGACTATAACTTAACTATTTGCTTTGGTAAAGCTGGAAACAAATTATCGGACGCGGCTGACAGCCGCGACTTATAAGTTTGCACAGTCTTCAAGGACGCGGCTTGCGGACGCGTTTCGATGCCTATTCCACTAAGAACTGTTGACGAAGAAACACGTCGAGTAGTGAAAGTGAGGACGAATTTTTCGAATTAGCGGCAGCAGCTTTATGTTGTCCAGCCAAAAAGAAAATAAAAAGAAGTATGTCCACGTTTGGGTCCATGACATAAATAAAGAAAGAACGGAGTGTGGTGAATTTCACACCTTGTATCCACAATTATTAAGAAATGAATGTCGCTATAAACTTTATTTGAGAATGAATGAGGATCAATTTAATTTTTTTGCTAAATCTACGACATTGAAAAACAATCAACACAGTTTCGTACTCCTATATGTTTTTTATAACATCTTTATAATCCTTCAATTTAGGATTATAAAGTAATTCTTTGAACACACTATATAATTCGTTCCTCCATTTTTAACGCATATGGACAAGTGGAATCTCTTGCGTCGTCAGCGTCCTTCTGATGCAAGGACGGGTCCCGCACCCCGTGCATACCGTCCGCGGACGTTTTCGGCTGATAAAAACATCCAGCGAGCCAGATTCCTGTCGGACGTCCGAAGGTTGAAGGTCAGCCCAAGGTTACGTCCACGACTTACATCCGATAGTCTGAACAGCTTAGTGTACATTCATTACGTAGATGCCTATAAGTCGCGGCTGAGAGCTTAACACACGTGTTTTTTATGACCCGCTTAACATATTTAAAACCGGTGGAATTACACCAGCTTTACGAGCAAAGGTGTTAAAAAAGAAATTTAAGATGTACCGCGATTCAGACGGCCACAGCGTTATCTTGCGAAAATGAGAGCAAGCAATTTATTTGACTGCGCTTATTTTAGTATATTTATTACAATTTCAAAGTTAAGTGCTATAACAGTTAATAACTGTAATAGTTAAAACGTTTTTTTTTAACAGATAAATTTTCCGTTTTGGCGCCTTTTGAATCCGCCGTCATATTAAACGGTCCAAATGTCATAAAGATTCAACTACGTAACCATGCGTGTGATTGAATGACGGTATTCAACTAAATCGCTAGCCGCTCAATTGAACTGCTGATTTACTCAGTTGGCTGCGACATAACTATATAATTGATACATGGTGAAGTTTAAGGCACCTAAAAATTCTTTAAGTTTAGGATTCGCGCGTTTGAGGAAAATATAAATACACGTGATATATTACTACAGCTCCTCCCCCCATTCGAGCCTCACGTGATTAATGGAAATTGGTACAGTCAACAGCACATCACACCATACAAAATAGACAAATTTCCCAATTTGATTTTAAATCTTTATTCATTGATTGTAGAGTTCAAAATCAATTGTAGAAATTTGACATGTTGTGGTAACCTGACGTGCAGCCTCGCATGACATACCTGATCTAGGTGGTCTCTCTGTTCCTTTCTCTTTTTCAACTATTTCCTGACTTCTTAGCGTACTGAATCCCGAGGCCGAAGATCTTGCCGTGGAGCACTCGCTATCTATACCTAGGCTATCAAGAGCTCGCATCCTCTCCGCTATTTGGTCCTTAATAATATCACGATGTGGGCTGGCTTCACCTAAGAACTCCATCTCATCTAGCCATTCAGCGCGTTCACGTATTTGAGTTACCACTAAAAAAAACCGATTACAACATTGTAAACAAGGAGGTTCTATGTCCGACGGCGATTAACAGATTTTATTTAAGTAGAGCGGTTGGCAAAAGCATGGTCATCAAATCCTCACCGTATGTAAACCGCCTTCCGTACCCAAAGGTTAAAACGGGACCCTATTACTAGGACTCCACTGTCCGTTTATAACCAGGCTGTTCTGGTTATAGCTATTTCTTTTGCCATTATAACAACAAATACTACTACCAAAACAATAAAATAAACGGGGGCTCCCAAACGGCAAACGTACCTAATTTTTTTGCTAATTTCCGTTAAGTTATTCTTCGTAGTCAATTTTTAATTTTTAAAAAGTTAGGTATGTTGCCTATTTTAGTATTAAAATTACGTATTAGTAATACCTTTTTGTTATGTTTTACTGTTCTTATCTCGAGTTTATTTTACCTACTTATAGAGGTTATTACTAAATATTATAAAATGGGACACCTGTATGTATTGTTATATTAACGATCTGGGGACCAATTCTACTAAATAAATTTTGTTTAAATCGAATCGAAAACGGATCGTAAACGAATCGAATCCGAACGAATCTACAGTTTTGAATGGTTTTTCTATGCTACTAAGTGACATACGATACAATTCCAGCTAAAGTAGAACTGCCCCCTAATTGTCTAATTTTAAATCTATTGCAATCGCTTTCAGTTTGAAAGGTGTTGCACAACCATTGCTTGTTTCTGAAGACAGTTGAAAAAAGAGTATTTGTATTATGCAGCAATGTTTGTGCAACACCTTTCAAACTGAAAGCGATTGCAATAGATTTAAAATTAGACAATTAGCGGGCTGGTATTGTATCGTATGTCACTTTGTAGAATAGGAAAACCATAAAAAACTAGTTTCGATGCGTTTTTAATTCGATTTAAACAAAATTTATCTAGTAAAATTGGCCCCCAGGTAACCACTCACAGTCATGCCACATTTCTTTCTTAGTGGGTAGCGTCGGAGTTGGTTTAGCCTTGAGGACAGGTTTCGAAAGTTCCTGTTCCGGTGTATCTCCGTATGCCATTTGGTTTGCCAGTTTCTGTATCAATTTCTCTCGGTCTTCTCCTCGTATCCGGGGCAAATAACTAGGATTATTAAATAATAATAATTAAGATTATTAAAAGAAATAATATGGTCAAAAAGACCCACCCAATATATCTGCACGCGTAGCATGATGAACTCGAAACGCTCGAACGACTCGTTAAATGGGGCGGGAGGTATTGCTGTCTATACAAAATTTCACTCAAATTCTCGCTTTTGCCCGTTTCTCTACTCTTCGAGGTCGTCGTACTTTGTGGGTAGGTTGCTCAAAAATGCTATATTTTTTAGATTTTTAGTAGAGTTTAAATCGATTGCGAAAATTTCATATATTATGTGTAATATAGTTAATGAATATACAGAAATCAGTAGGTATTTATAATAGCTTACGGATCCACATTGAAAACTCCAGATTGTCTGATTTCGGATAGAGAGCGTCGTCTCGATGTCCGCGGTCGGACCAACGGTGTCGATATTTGCGGTCGACGTTCCGCCTTCTTTTCATATTCACGTAAGGCTAAAGCCGACTTTTTACGCTGAGCAATAGTCAGCTTAGATTCCTCCAACAACACTAAATAAAAAACCCAATTAATGTAACGGCCTCAGACCAAATTTGGTCTGGTAATAGCTTTATCAATTTAGGTAGATGCTTATTAAATTTGTTTAGGCGTATTATATATTTAATAAGCTTTACTCATACTTTTATTCTAGTAAAACGCATATTTAAATTGTGAGACGGAAAGTTGAGCTGTTTGATGGCACAGTGGATAGCGCACCGGCACACCGGGGGCTTGCCAATTGCACAACTAAAAGCCGGTCAACAGTTGGGAGACCAATATGTTTAAGTCCAGCTTTAACAATTCTTTGTAAATATAAATAAGGTAGATATATAAATATATATAATCAACAATTCATATGTACCTTTCAAAAATTCCTGTTGATTGACAGAGGTTTGTGCAATACGAGAATGAAATATTCCTCCATGTGGAACGGTTTTACTAGGCCAATTTATATTAATGAATCCATTAGCATCAGGCTTTTCCATCTTAATTTTGATGATATATCGTATATTTAGTCAGATAATTCTGTAAAAGAAAGAAAAATGTTTACAATGGTATGACAATTTTAATCTCCCGGGCAACCACCATAACACCAATAGTTATTTAATTTAATGCAAAGGGAATTTAGCCCACACAGCCTAGTTTTATTTTCTATTAAACATTGGTGTTCAATGCTTCTGTAGAGTTTAACGAAACTCGATTTAGGAAGAACGAAGCTTTGAATAAATGTTTTTTTCATGTGTACAAATAAAATTCAGCAAATAGGGGTTTTTTCAAAGCTGTGGAAATCACTTAATTTTCTACTCAATGAAAATGACGGTGAAACTGTCAAAAAGCGCATGCTTTTGTGCTTAAAAAAATTCTTCGTAATTTTGTTAAAAAGTGAAAATATATGTTTAATGAATTGTGATCTTTAAAATAAAAAATAACAAACTTTTAAATCTAAACAGACGACCATGAATCCTTAGTAGTTTTAAAAAAATCTCTAGACTCTTTAGCTTTCATCTAGTTATTCATCATAATTCTAAGGCTTTCATAATTTAAAAAGCATGTAGGTGGTTACATAAAAGGTGATTTTATATCAGTATAGACTTCTTATGACATAGCACGTCTAGGCATTTTTAAATATAATATTTAACAACTAACTTTCCGCCAGCGGATTCACCCGCGTGGACCTGTATTATAATTTACAAATAAACCTATAGTATCTCCTTCTTATTCTGTATCACTCTGTGCATTGATGAAAACCGCATTATTGTCTGTAGTTAGTTTAAAAGATCTCAGCTTACACAGTGACAAGCTACTTTCTTGTATACTATGTAGATATATATAGTAAAGAAATATAAAAACATTAACAACTATAGCCCGTGAAAATGTAAACAAATAAAGAGACATAAAAGTTTAAATGATAGATGATGACAGATTGATTAAATTATCATATTTATGTCATTCAATGACTGAATTATTCCTTACAACGTGTTTTGAATATGGTAGACTGAGAGCTCTTCACAAAAATGTGCAAACATGCGCTAAAGCTTGATATTTAAGGTTCCGTATCCAAAGGATAAATCAACGAATTCTTAGTAATATAGTCCCATTACTAAGAATTTGCTGTCCGTCCGTCCGTCCGTTTGTCACCAGACTGTATCTCATAAGCCGTTATAGTTAAACAGTTGAAATTATCACAGATGTTGCATTATTTATCCCTATATATGTCAAAGCGGTGACATATTAGACATAATTTACGAATAGTAATTGGTATTTTTAATTCACTAGTTTCTTATACATGCTATCAGTTAAAATGGTGAAAAGTGATATTTATTGTAACAAAAAGTTTAACAAGATTATTATGTACGATAATAGCTGCAATAGAATTAATGAACCATATGAAAAGTCTCACATAGCGAACATGTCATTGTCACCCTATTTGAAAAAGATAAACAGCCTCTGTACTTGATATCTGGCTCAGCTTGCTTTTCAGCTGCGAGTGCTCGGTTCTGTTATATTAGAACCACGTCCATGGTGGTACATAAATCGGAAATATTAAATTATTCTTTTACTACATATATCTTTTTTCGACAGATTTCAAATACTTGTCAGAAGCATTTAAAATAGTTTTGATGAAAACAAAAGAAAAAATATCAATGGCTGTATGTACTACATGCTTTTGCCTAATGGTATAACAATAATACAAAATACTCAAAATAGCGGCAATTTAAAACTTTCTATAATTTTACTACTACTACTAAAACTTTCTATAAACGCCGACAAGCCGATACATTGTTTTGAAAAATCCTGTTTTAAACAATGAATGACTCCGTGGGTTCTGCAATTGAGAAAATAAAAATTCTAGAGCAAGATACCGAAAATAAATTAAAGGAAAAACGCGAATGTAAGCTCATCGTCATCATCAGCCCTGTTACGTAAGTTACTAGATAAAATAAAAAACAAGAGAGCAATTAATATTTTTAAAATCCATAATTTTATAGATGAAGCCACAATAGCAGCACTAAATCAAGCGATAAAAGAGGCTTTGCAACAGACTAAGAAGCTACACGTTGAAAACGCACAATTAATAGAGAAAATAGACAGTCTAAAGGCAAAGTTGGTTTTAGAGAGAATTCGAAGAGATGCCTTAATAGCACAAATTGAAGTGTCTAAAAAAGAATTACAGGACTTAAACAACGAATCGGTTTGTAGACAAATTTTAAAAAAATAGCTTAATCCAAATAAGTACCACGTGGTTCAAGGGTAGTGTGGTATATAGTTTTCGGTTAATCTTAATGAAAAATCTGCCAGTGAAACAGCCACCTTTCATCATCATCATCAGCTTATTAGCGTCCCCACTGATGGGGCATAGGCCTGCCCAATAGATGAAATCAAATAAGAATAGTCTACCGGAGTTTCTGTGAATAGCGCGCATGTCATCACATCATAGAATAGTCCAGTTCCTCTTCTTTCCATTTTAATGCGAAGTAAAATCGACATACTTGCCAATAAAATACACATCTTTATTTTAATAATAGTCCTTTTATTGAAGTCTTTTAATAAGGACGCCGTCTTTTTGCTTGTAATTAGATATTTGATTATTGTGCTTATTCTGAACTTTCATTTAGAGGCTTTCATTATAAGTATTTAAACAAGCCTAATGCTTTGCTTGTATAAGATTATACGCAACAAACATGGTCATAGCAACTTGATGGTCAGCTTGTTCTTGCTTTGCCAATTCTACATTTTCAGAGATTTTAGTGCGTGACATGCGTGAAATTTTGCCAACTGATATTCTACCAACATATTGAAGAGATGGTTTTCAATTTGTAGGTATCGAACGAAAATAATTTCATCCACCTAATTTCTTTTTCAACATTTTATTTTACCAGTTTGTCCATGTAATTAAAGTGACCTTATGCTTAATTACACCTTTCTATTGCAAATAGCTTGTCCAACGGACAGACAAACGGACATCACAGAAGTATAAGAGTTCCTTGTTAACTATGGAATCGAAAAATTGAAAATGAAAGCGTCTGTTTGATAAAAATCCGTGTAACCGTCTTAAAACTATAGAAGCGTCATCCAGTGTTCCGTAGCGACAGCTAAATTTAACATATAATTTTTTCGCCTTATTAATAATTCCTCATTAAGTTATGTTATTTAAAAAAAAAACGCAAAATTGAAAATGAAAGCTACTTTGTTTGATAAAACTCGGAAAAACATAAAGACTACAATAATTACAAAAATCAATATCCCGTTTTAAAGAACAATTGTGTCATCTAGTTATCAGTAGCGTCAGCTAAATGTGACATTTTCGTGTACTTAACCAACCATATTTGTATATTGATTTTTGTTTAACTTTCACAGAATACGCTTTTCAAGGAAAGCTTTAAAAAATTAAAATATTCTTCCATTTTTCATTGCTACTCCATACCCATAAGTCATAGCGAGATTTTATATAACCTATATTCTTCCTCGATAAATGGACTATTCAACTCAAAAATAATTCCAGTAGTTCCTGAGATTATAGAATTCAAACAAACAAACAAACTTGAAGAGTTTGCTTTATATCTATATTAATAATAAAGATTTAAATGAATAATTATTTTTTAGGATAAAGGTATTGGGAAAGTATGGAAAATTCGTGCTGACTTATGTACGGCCATACAGAAGGTGTCTGACGAATGTGATATTCGAGCACTTCTTATAAAACCGACGTATAGCGAATTTAATACAACACATACTGATAGATTGAGTCAGGAAGATTTAATTTCAGCCAATAAAGAACGCTTGAAAAATGCTATCGAAAGACGCAATAAAGCATTGTCAATACGCGCTACACTTCAAGCTGAACCAGACGAAGGAGAAGAATATATTAGGTTTATTAATTTCATTAATTTAAGTTGCATTTGTATACTAAAACGTCTTTGGTTAAAAAGGCATTGGTTGATTATCAAAAACACATTAGTGCGATTAGCATGCGTCGGTCTGCAGTTTAGGAATAAAAAATCAATTTAAAAATAAATAATACACCGACTTCAAAAAGTCTTAATAAAGAGAAAGACTGAAAAGAGAGAAAAAATGACACACGTTTTATCCTATCCTATTAATATTATAAATGTGAAATTTTCTTTGTTTGGATGTTTGTCGGTCAATCACGCCGAAATTACTGAACGGATTTTGATGGAATTTGGTATACAGATAGGGTATTAGCTGACTTAGATAACAGGATACTTTTTATCCCACTTAACATTTCCCTAGGGTCCACACGGGCGAAGCCGCTGGCGAAAGCTAGTCTTTAATAAAATCGAATTACAGAAAGTCTATAGGTACACCAACATTTTTTTTAAGTCGGTGTCAGAATCAATTTCATAAAAAAAAACAAGCAGCTATATGTTTGTTCCTATATGCATTATAGAGACCAAACAGCTTGGCCAATTTTGATGATTTATACGTCAATCGATTTGTCTTAAACCTTGCGGGTGTCACTAAACACAACAGTAATCAAAATATTTTTTTTAGCTACATATAAGGTGGATTTGTTTTTTTGTTTGATTTCCCTATACCTAATGTGGAATATTGTTGGACAGTTGTTTCAAAAATATTAGAAGTGTGCGAATACCGTTTTTAGATATAGTGAGCCGTTTGCAAATTATTACGCTTTAAAGTACCAAGAACTACTTTGGATCGCGCTGTGGTTGTCAAGCATACGTTGCTTTGAGCCGAGTAAGGTCTCTACAGGGACTAACAATCAGTAGTTTAGACCACCGCAAGTTGCTTAATAATCCTTACGATATAAACTCCCTCAATGAAATGACAAGGTTGCGAAATTTGCCGTCTTATTTTTCTAATAACGAAGTCAATGAGAATTGACTAAAAAGTTTAAAATAAAAATTTAATTATAAAAACCAAAAAACCCGGCTACGTGAAAACAAAAGAGAGAATTGAAAAAATATATAAATTACTTTCAGTAAAAACTAAAAAGAAAAAAACAAACCCAGTAGTTTGGAATGTTATTAAGTTCTACTGAATAACTGCTCCATTGAAATAATTTTAAAATCTATACACACATAAAACATATATTCAAAAGCAGAATAGAAGGATCAACAATCGGGACCCATTTAAATTATACGGGACTCCGTTGATTGGTCAATAAGGAATGAGGGCCAGGGAGAATGGGTCATGTCTCACCGTGTGGACCCAGTTCGGAGTGCTGGGTATACACGACTGCAAATACAGCCGGGATAAATGACTTAACGTGCCTTCCGAAGCAAGGAAGAGCTCGAAATAACAACTTTTTGGGTCCCCATCCTATGATCGGCCTTTGCGAAAGTTTAATGGTATAAAGTAGTATAATTACATTATTTTTTTATATACTTAACAACCATACCATACCTATAATAAACCCAATTTAAAAATGTTGAGGTTAGGGAGTATGCATGACAGATTTCACACCAACCAATATCTCCTTTTAAAGGATTTAAAATATTCTGCAATGAATACTAACTAATAGGTACCAAAAATTTTCAGAATAAGAAACGCTCTTCAATATTCTCTGGATATGGTATCAAACTTGAGGAAATAACATCATTCAAAATGGTGAGTATAGTAATAATTTTGCTGCCCCTCTTAATTAGGTATTTTATATAATTATACTATACATTATATACAATAATTTTAAAAAAAATTTCGGCGTGTACTGTCATAATTATTTTTCATTATACAGGTTAGATTTTGGTCGAGTTGTTTAGTTGTCGCCATGCAACTGCTCACGGATCAAGTGTTGTGATTCGATCCCCATAAATAAAGGACAATTTTTTGTGTGATTTACAAATAATTGTTCTTACTCTGAGTGTACAAAAAAAGATTTGAAATAAAAATATATAAACAACTAAAAAGCCATGAATAACACTTTCTTTGAATGAGGAAGTATTTAAAAAAGAACGAAAGCACCAAAATAGCACCTCCACTAGATGGCGACTCTAGCAAAAGTTGATATTTGCAGGAAACGAATGGACCAAAGACAGTCATTTTCGTTCCCATTAACTAACAAATTAAAAAACTGAAATATGAAAAGTTTGATACTTAGATATCAATACAAATACGAAAAATTACAAATAGAATATGAGTTGTTTATTGAGTTTTGAAAACTAATTTACTTTTATACATTTTTTTTTAAATACTTCCTCATTGTAAAAGCATCACGTACTTTCTTAAAGGAACGTAAATAATATTGAACTTAATATATATTTTATTTACTGTGAAATTTTACCGCCCCCCAAGTGCTGCTCGCAAACACCCCCCTCCCCCCTACTAGTTACAATCACTGTTGTTTCTGACGTGAAACTGATGGCTAGGTTTAGATAATCAGAAGATTATAGATCATTTGGTCTCCACCCCCGTCAATAGAATAACGTGATGATTTTTTTAACTATTTTAGGTAACAGCAGTAGGTTTTTTATAGATATGTACACATTCTACAGAAAGGTAATAGAAACATGTATTATGGAATACGACTTATAATTAGTATATAAAATAATTATTATTAAAACACGACTTCCAACTAAAAAATAAAATAAACAAGTTTTATTAAGGCTTGACTGCACAAAATTCTCATTGCAGTAGGAGGAACGTTGTAACCTAAGAGGTACCCCGACTGCAATGAACTTATATTTTTTTAAATGGCGTCACTGTCACTCGGTTTGATATATTTATACCTTATATATTTATATCCGTTACGTCTTTGAAAAGCATGGTGGAATAAAAAAATCACGTACATACAATACAATACACGCCTTTCCGGTATACGACACGTGGTCCGGTATTCGAGTAAAAAACATGTAATTCATTCGAGTTCTTTTATCGATAGTGGGGCAACTTTACTACAAATACTACAAGGAGGCACTCAAACGTCGATAGCGATAATAACAAATCGATAATGTTTATTTACGTTTTAAAGCAGTAGATATGCGAAAAACAGTACGGTGAAAAGTAATGCCATATGGCATGACATTTCGTACAGCGTAATATGACCTAATGTGATGCGCTATGCGTACGGCTCACTGATACGTAGCGGGCAGCCGGACCAATGAATATTCAGTACAATCACGTACCTGTAATTTTATTCAATAGTTTTATTCTTATTTCATAGCCGATTAACTATGTAAAATTATTATTTCTTTACGTACAACGAGTTGTTTTTTAAAGTCAATTATATTTTTTTATAGATTCTATATATTTTTTGCTTTGTGCTTAATATAAGTATAAATTTTGATTACAGCTAATAAATACTAATTGGATTGCTTTTATTTAAGCCGAAAACGACAGTACGCCTTGCCGCGCTGAGTCGACAATATGTCGACTCAGCGCGGCAAGGCGTACTGTCGTTTGGTCTCTATATATTTTTTGCTTTGTGCTTAATATAAGTATAAATTTTGATTACAGCTAATAAATACTAATTGGATTGCTTTTATTTAAGCCGAAAACGACAGTACGCCTTGCCGCGCTGAGTCGACAATATGTCGATATCATGTTTAGTGTCAAAATAACAAGCTAAAGACTAAACGCTAAGAAAATTATATTAGCTGTTAATTAAGTGCTTATATTTTTAACGCGCTAAGTATATAATGAAATGGTTGCGCAACAAATACATTAAATGGAGCAGTACACTAAATCTTGTAGCACGTTATTTATTACATGTTGATATTTGAACTAAGCGCGTGATATAGTAAACAATAATTTATTAGTATTTTATTATAATATACGTATGTAAAATAAAAAGGGTAAATGAACTTGTCTACATCTTCTTAATGCAATTTTATATCCCTTCACTAAATTAGTCCTTATATTTATTCTCTGAACAATTTAAAATACAATATAAACTTACTAAACTATCTTAATAATACACGATCATATTTAACATGCTACGTTAATAAATTGTCAACGCCTCCATTAACATTTGCACCTCTACGTTTATGCAAGGTCGGCTTCGCACGCGGTAGTATTTTAACGAGCTTCGAGAATAAATAATTCACGCGCCTATTAGTTTTCGCACCCATAGTTTTCGCGCGCTCGGCCGCGGGTGTTAATGGTCGTTGCACGTTAATACGCCAAATTTTAAACACCTTAACGTGTACATACTCAACAGCGTTCAACGCTAAGTACGATTAGTGTATTACCTTAACACGTTAAGCGCTTATTTAACCACCTCGAATTTAAATAAAGTTTTCATCTGTAAATTACTAAATCCCTTTACCTTTTTTATTACAATAATATCGATAATAAGTAAAGTGACACTGACAGTAAATGTCAACTGAATTAAAAAAGAAGAAGAGCCTAAAAGGGTTTTATTAGTTCAATTTATTAAAAAAAAAATCGTGCCCAAAAAGCGAAGTTAGAGAAATCATAAAAATGAATAGGAATACAATGGTGCTTAGGTAATCATCTGTTATGGAATTGCATTAGAATAAAACATTAGTTTAACAGACATAGGGCTTAGATTAGGGTCGATGAAATATCTGTCTATTTTTGTTTTGCTAAATATTTTGATGGTAGTCACGTATTTAATGAATAGGAACTCCAAAACCTCATTTTGTTATAGGTATAGCTTACAACAAATCAGCTCATTGTTTTTTCCTGTATTGTATTATTCATGAAATGAGGAAATAATACTTGTTATTGTGAAATAGTATTCAGGCAATAAACACATTATCATGAGTCACATTTAAATCGTAACAAAAATACTACTAAAGAGAAGAAGTAATAACTCAAAAGTCAAACCTATTACTTTTTTTCCCTATGAATAATTATTCTTCGATCCACAATGTTAAAAAATGACAATAATCTACACAGTTCTTTTTGAAATGTGTTCATAGATATAGATTGTATTTTCTCAATGTTGTAATAGGATTGCTAATTACTAAAAAAGATTTTAATGCCCATTTTATGTACTATTTTTGTTTTCAGTACCTTATATAGAATTAGCAGAAGAAACAGATGGTTCAGTAGTAAATTAGAGGAAAGTGAAAATGAACCTATCAAGTTTTCAAGTAGTCCAGCTGCACGGAAAACTGTAATACCAGTTATTAGGAAACCAACTCCAAATGATATGCCATGGTATCAGCCATACTCTGTTGTAGCCAGTGTAGCAGTATTCTTAATATATTTTTGTGTCTTTAGAGAAGAAAATGACATTGATAGTGAATTTGATAAAACTTTATATGAGAGAATTAGAGGTTTAGAAAAAGAACAACTTATACAATCATATAAGTTCAATAAAGAACATGGAAGAAGTGTAGAAGCCATAGAACAGAGACTTAAAGATTTGGAAGTAGAAGAAAAATTAGTTTCTTAAGGTTAAATTATTAGTATATATTATTGGTGTGTCTATTACATATTTATAATAAAATAGTAATTTGACTAAATGATTTCATTACCAATTATAAGGTTTAATTTATATCCTAGAGCTGAAAGCTGGTAAAATCCACTCCATATAGCTTTTTTAAAGGCTATTCCTACAACTGTCCTGCCATATCAATCATTAATACATGTGTAAGGTCAGTTTTAAATAGTAGTGACAATTTCAGTTTGAAAGCAGTCATGATATTCTCAAGATTAATATTGCAGTTGGCATCCACTTACACCGAAGACTTGAGCACAACAGTTATCATTAATGTAATCAAATGTATGATGGAGTAATTACGTGTATGAATAGATCATAAAAAATAAACTTAAAAATTTTCCTACAATATTTCAGTTCACCCAAATTTTTTAATTAGCAAATGTATAGATGCATCTGGATAATTGCAAATCCACTGCACTATGAATTTGCCAGGTCCGTTTACCACGCTTGCCCAGTTACCTAAGCCTTCTTCAAGCTGGTTTTTAGGGATATATAAATGACAAAAATAGATAATAATTTAGGTCTAATCATTTATTTAAACACCAAATTGTCATTACACATCATTAAGTGCATCAAATTACTCCTAGCATAGAATACTCACACATACATGTGGTCGACAACATTTGCCTAATACATTATCTAGACAGAATATACCACAAATTACTAAATTAAAAGCCATGTCCTTACATGGGACACTCAGTTAATACAAATTTCAAATAACAAGAATGAAGTTGATATTAACATACAGTATCCTATGCAAATGCACAGCATACTTAAGTTATGAACATATCTGTAAAAAATTCAGTTCTGCTGCCTCCTTACAATTATGATTATAGTATTAAGATGAAGAAAATGAGACATAAAAAAAATGTGGATTAATTTTATCAATAATTTATATACTAATGCTATTCTAATTTATGCACGCTCTCCACGGATTCGTCGTGCAAGCTGAATGTCTTTAGGCATGATAGTCACGCGTTTGGCATGGATGGCGCACAAGTTGGTGTCTTCAAACAGACCCACCAAGTAAGCTTCACTCGCCTCCTAAAATGTAATAATACAACAAATAAATAATAGAAAATGTACCATTTTAAGAATTATTCGTTACATATAAACAATTAAAAAGATAATATAAACCATTGTATTGGCTTACCTGCAGAGCACCAATGGCCGCAGATTGGAAGCGCAGATCAGTCTTGAAATCCTGAGCTATTTCTCTCACCAGTCGCTGGAAGGGCAGTTTTCGGATAAGCAACTCCGTAGATTTCTGGTAACGACGAATTTCTCGAAGAGCCACTGTACCAGGACGGTAACGATGGGGCTTCTTGACTCCACCAGTACTTGGCGCCGATTTACGGGCAGCTTTGGTGGCCAATTGTTTACGAGGAGCTTTACCTCCCGTGGATTTACGAGCTGTTTGTTTAGTACGGGCCATTTTAAACTGAAACAATGTACATATTTTACTGATAAAACAATAGAATATAACTAGTATTGCGACACTTCACAAACCTCATTTCACTCTATACCCTCATCTGATTATTATTAAAACAACTAAATACACCAAAATAAGAGATGAAGTAAGAGAAATGTTAATACGTACTTTTTAGATGGGTTTAATAGAAGATGAACACAGTCTATAAAATAATTCACACTAGAGCTTCACAACAACGATCATATGCTCAAGATGGCGTCGAAGAGAATGGCGGGCGAGCACTGACGCCAAATTTACGAACCCTGATTGGTTCTGTTTTCTTGAATTCCGTTACTAGTATTGGTCAGAAATGTAGATAACTCTATTGGTTCATTACAAATATTTATAGTTGAAGTATTTTGTTATTGGCTGACACAAAATTTGGTGTTGCCATAACTAAAGCATAAAACTACTACATATAACTATAATTATGACTTCAAAACATTTAAGCTTTGTTTGACTTCATCCACATTAATACAATTTTTTAGTGTTCAAAGTCATGATGATCATCATAAGATTTGTACAAATTGAGTTTCTATTAAAATTACTGAATATCTAAATTTTTAGTAAAAAGTAGAAATCAGAAGAAAAAAGTACCTATTTTTCTATCTCGGTCATTCTTATGTGTTTTATTTTAGCAAAGAACGAGATAGGTCGAAAACAACTACGTCACATAGCTGTCAATGGTTGCGTTACTATTTACTTATTTTCTATTCGTGTCAAAAAGTATCCGACGTACAGTCGAGAAATGATTATTTTAAGTTCAAGGTCATTTTTATCTAAAATGTAGCGTGTATTTACGGGGCAATTTTTTATGTGTCATATTATTTACATTTTTTACCTTTCTAAAATATTTTGTATCACGTGACCATTTATATTGGATTTTAATTGGTCGACGGTGAGCGTGCCCTGCGCGACGCAAGAAGCGCAATAATAGTTTTCCAAAATGCCGTCGGAATCTAAGCCTTCGTTGGTAGCTCAAACAGAAAAACCAAATCATTATAAGTAATTGTGCATCCTACCTTTGGAATTTTAGAAAGTGAACATTGATTGGAAGTGTTTTTATTGATAATCCGATTCTTGTGTTGCAGATATCTCAAGGAATTCAGAGTAGAGCAGTGTCCATCGTTCCTACAGCATAAATGTACACAACATAGACCTTTTACATGTTTTCATTGGCATTTTAATAATCAAAGACGGCGAAGACCAGTCAGAAAAAGAGATGGGACTTTTAATTATAGCGCAGATAATTATTGTACCAAATATAATGAGACTTCAGGGATTTGTGAAGACGGAGACGAGTGAGTTCCTACCTGTCATTGCTTTGTTTTCGTTGTATTATCGCGGCATTTTGATGGTAGGTTGATTCATGTTTTTTGAGAGTTTATATAATTTATCCTTATATAAATTCGTTACCACTTATTAGATTCGTTAGTAGAATCCAACTAGAATTTAATCTGTTTGTACATATATTGAGGGAACAAATAACAAATTCTAACCCAACCAAATTAAGGATGGCATGCAACCATAGTCTTGGTTGCTTAGACGACACTTCCCAAATTGGCATCATATGAGGTCCATTGTTTCACCAAGGGATATCAACATACATTTGTTTATTTTACACAAATTTCTTAGGATTCTAGTACTGGTTAGTCAGTATTATTCATGTTTGTTCAAAATTTAAAAAATAGATTTTTGTTCTTGCTCTTGTACATAGCTACTTCATTAAAATTTGATTGTGTTTGTAAATCTAAGTTGTGCTCTACATATGTTTTACCATCTTATGAACATTAATTTTACTATCAACTATTTCAATGAAACATAAAACAAATATTTATACTGAGCAGCTTAGTGTTAATGATATAAGTAAGCATTAATGAGTAGGTTATTATATAAAATCAAATTATTTGAACAGGGCATTTAGTTTTACATAGTTTTACACTTTAAGTATTACAAGAATGTAATACTAAAAGTGTTTATAAAATGTAACTGATTCATTTAGATCCCATTATTATGTTTCTCAATTAAAATAAAAGTTTTGATACATTTTACATTATTGTAAATAATTATCTTAGCAATAACCAAAAATATTTGAATCTAGAAAGATTTGTAAGCCAAAATGCAAGAAACAAATCTTTTATTAATTATTGAAATATTAATTAATAATCACTAAAAATATTGTTATTATTATTATTACCTTTTACTTTTTAATTTATTGCAAAAATTGTCAAAAAAGCCAATTTATATGTTAATATTAAGGTATATGAAAAACAAAAATATATGTTAAAATAACATTTACTCTGTAATAATGCAATAACCAGAGCTGAGGATAATTTTTAAAACATTACCAAAAATAATTTTGAAATGAGAGACTAGATACATTTATTTTTAATGAAATCAGGTTCACTTATTGTGGAAACCATAATAGCAGTTGTTTTTTAGTCAATCATTAGAAGAAACAACAAAACTTAGCAATGAAAATTGAGAACAACAAAAACATAAAAAAAATATCTGAATGCCTTAATTGTATAGTCCAATTGGTGACCCAAAGGCTACGTAATGTAAATAAATGAATTTTAAACATGCAGGCCCCATTTAGCGATAAATAAGATTTTGTCAATTTATTTTTTTTATAATTTATCAAGAAAATGGCCCATAATTTACCATTTATAATTTTTTGCTAAACCTAAAACTTAATCTGCAGCAGTCAAAGTGTAATGGTGGAGATGTGATTTTTCATATCATTTGACTTTGGCAAATTGCAGTTCTTTAGATGGTTTTTCATATTATGGGATAAGGTATACTATTTTTGCTGCAAGATTAAAAAAAAAATCTGCTCTAAAGTGTCAATATTTAATTATTTTATCACTGTTTCGAGACACACTAACTCCCATTAGAAATTCAGGTGATATCATTTTGTTCAAATGTAGATGATGATTTCTATTGGGCTTACAAAAAGCAAATTGCTGAGTGGCAAGGTGTTGTAATGTCTTTTGTATTGTTAATTTGTGTTTGTTTTGTTTACGTTTGACTTATTTATGTCCAATAAATGGTACACCTTCAAGGTATCTGCAGAATACCAGCATCACAGCAAACTCATGGCTTATGCTGGGCAGAGGCCACTTTGGCATAACAAAATTGTTTTCGTTACATTGATATTTGGAGAAATACTCATGTTAACTCAAATATAAACGTAAAAAATAAAGTAATTGTACTACTAACCGGTGTTACATATAAGGTGCCACTGTAAAATTCCAAGCTGTAGTAGCTATTGAATGTTTTTACTGTAAAGTACATGGTAGCAATCCTATTTCAATAGAATCAAATTTTTGCTTAATTCTCATGTTCATGTATATTAATATTATAAATAGGATAGAATTTGACTTTTTTTTGCATTGAATAGGCTCTGAGACTACTGGAACGATTTTAGAAATCTTATACTCTACTAAAGATTATATATATATACTTCTAGTGTACTAAGTGACACTTTTGTTATGCAAACTTTATGTATTTCAGTTGCCCGTACCTCCACCGCACTGCCGGTGATACCGAACGTCGGTATCACCTCCGCTACTATAAGACTTGCATGTGCGTCCACGACACGGACGCGAGGGGATTATGTACGAAAAATGGTGCACACTGCGCCTTCGCCCACGGAGCACCGGATCTACGGCCACCGGTGCTCGACATGAGGGAGCTCCAAGCTCTAGAGAACCCTGACGGGGCAGACGGAGATGCTGCGATACCCAATGCTTTAGATAGAGAACGAAATTTAATGAATGAAGACCCCAAGTGGCAAGGTATGTTAACTTTACATCGACAAAATCGTTTTTTACAGTGTTACATGAACTAAATTGTAATTTTTATTTCAGATACAAATTATGTGTTATCGTCATATAAAACTGAACCATGTAAAAGACCACCTAGGTTATGTAGACAAGGGTATGCTTGCCCGCAATATCACAACAGTAAAGTGAGTATCTCTCCAGTCGTCACCATCGAGAATTTCTGAAATTTGATCTAATCTCTATTGTTCGTTTTCCAGGATAAACGTAGATCACCAAGAAAATATAAATATCGGAGCACGCCGTGTCCTAACGTAAAACACGGCGAAGAATGGGGGGAGCCTAGTAATTGCGAAGCGGGCGACGCGTGCGGGTACTGCCACACTAGGACCGAACAGCAGTTTCATCCTGAAATATACAAGTCTACTAAATGCAACGACGTGCAACAGGCCGGGTACTGCCCTAGAGGTCTATTTTGCGCCTTCGCCCACGTAGAACGTAAGCATAGCGATCCCGATTTTGTATTTCACTGTTCGGTTTCCCATCGAGCTCACCTTCTGATCTTTTGTTATTTTCACGGCAGCCGAAGATTTGACGGCCGCCCGCGAGCTCGCGGCCCCTCTAGAATGCGGAACCAATCTGGCGGACCTGCTGTCGTCCGCGCTGCCGCCCGACAAGAAGGCGAACGACACCGGCGTGGGCATGCTGACCTCCGCCCTCGGCGGGCGGCCGCCCTCCCCGCCCGCCCTGCTGCAGACCAACGGCAGCGGCGAGGGCTCCGAGTGCGCGTCCACCTCCAGCGGCGGGTCCAGCGGGGGCCGCGCGCCCGGCCCGCAGCCGCGCGCCCTCGTGCCCCTCGCGCCCTTCGGCGAGCAGGACGAGCGCAAGAGCGCGCCCCAGCCCTCCGTCTGGACGCAGCGCGCCTCCACCTTCGACGCGACCGTCCTGCAGGAGGTGGTCGGGAACGCGCTCGACGACATGCACCTGGAGGACCCGCTCAACCTGGTGGCGGCGCTGGACCGCGACCTGTCCGACGGGGAGGGGCTGCTCGGCGGGTCGGCGCCCGTCAACATCCCGCAGGCGCGGCCGACGCTGCGCGGGTTCAGCCCGCCCGCCGGCGGCTCGCCGCTGCCGCCGTTCCTGCGCTACGCCCAGAACGACACCGAGCGGCTGTTCAACTCGCACGCGATCAAGGCGGGCAGCTACGGCGCGGCGGGCGCGGGGCCGTTCGACTTCGCGGCCACCTCGCCCTCGGCGCCCGCGGAGCTGTCGCGGCTGCGGGAGGAGGTGGTCGCGTCGCGCGCCGCCGCCGCCCGCTGGGACGAGCGCATCGCGCAGGCGCGCTCCGCGTGCGAGGCGTGGCAGCGCGAGTCCGACGAGGCGCAGCGCAAGGCCGCGCTCGCCGAGCGGCAGCGCGACGAGGCGCTCGCGCACGCGATGACGCTGCGGCGCGAGCTGGACACGGCGCGCGCGGGCGGGATGGGCGCGATGGGCGGGGCGGGCGGGGGCGGCGGGCGGCGCGAGCTGCGCGGGCTGCCGCTGACGACGCTGAAGGCGATGCAGGTGCAGGCGCGCGCGGAGCTGGAGGAGATCGAGAAGGTGCTGTACCTGGAGACGGCCACCAAGTGCATGGTGTGCGAGGAGCAGCCGCGCAGCGTGACGCTGGGGCCGTGCAACCACTACGTGCTGTGCGACGCGTGCGCGGACCAGGCCAAGGAGTGCCCCTACTGCCAGACGCCCGTGCAGCACCACGCCTAGGGTCCTGTCCGGCGACGAACACCTGTTTCGGCCTCGCGGAAGTCAAATGTACACCTTTGATATTCTTGTGATCGAGTCCGAGGGCCGCCGACTCGACTAGGATATAAAATTTTTGAAGGGATGCGTGTGGCATAATCCGATAGACGTATCGAATCGCCCGAAGTTTGTATTAGGTTTTTTCAATTGTCCCGCCACATCTTTTAAATTTATTCTCGGCGCAAATTTGAAACTGCGTGGTCTTCCGCGTGATGAAAATCGGTTTTTATACGCGTTCACAAATTTGTAAAATGATATTCGGAGGGTTGTTTCAATTGTAGCATGCGATTTGGTTTGCCTATACGATTATTACCTACCTGGAACACCAAAGCTGTAATCGGAATATGATCGTACAGTACCCGACGTCGTGTATGAACTACGTGAATATATCTAAAATCTATTTTTCTTATAATGAATATATACAGTTCGCGGTTCGCCCTCTGTAGAGGTTTAATGAATACGAGATATTATGCTTTTGATGTTAAATCTGTTTCGTTTATATAGATTCTTGTAGTAGTGGACTTATTGCTTTTACTGAAGTATGAACATAAAAGTGATAAGCATTTATGACGTCATATTCGTGAACATAGCCCCGGTCGTACTTTCACCGATGATCCGAAGATTTGAGATTTGTAATGTTTGGTAAGTGTATTTCTTATATAAAATTAAATGGTGAGTAAATTATTTAATTAGCGACACGGACGTCGATGGAAGTATGGCCGCTTCGATTATATCATTAGCTCTATGATTGAAGTAGATTTAGTTTTATATGAATATATTCAGACAGAATTTGTATGTTCAGGTTAGATTTTACTAATTATAATACATAATAATAATCAGACAAAACTTGAATCGGATGTTGTTATTGTTACGTTTTTTACATTTTTTAATATAACAAATATATTAATTAGAACTAGTGTGACTCTTAAGCTTCCTTCGGATATTTATAGAATGCACAACACTTGATTTTCGCCTCCTAAAATAGACACTTATAAGGACCAATATTATATCGAATATTCTAAGCAATAAATGTGCTGATGCTGGATTTTTAAGATTCCTCATACGGGAGTGTATTCTGAAGCTGTAGAATTTATATGCACCTATCTACTATATATTAAAAAATAGTAACAAGAGGGCAAAAATATTGAGAGAAATGACGTTTTTATTGATACAAACGAAGGTACTGGAAGTTTTTTCTTTTTTATATACATTAGAATGTTAATTAAGTTTACATTCCCAATTAATCATTAGAATAAGTGTTTGTGGTGTAGGTACAATATTCTCAGTGGATTGCATTTAAATTGATACAATTTGATCTACTTTGCCTGTTTTAATAAAAATAAAAGCAAATCATGAGTTATTGGAGAGTGCGCGTTTTTTTAACGTTGTACGAACATTATTGCAATATTTCAAATTGTTTTACCATCATATAATATCAAACGTAAATACTGTCATGGAACAGTGGAAAATCTCATGTGAGGTTATTCAAAAACGTCACTTGGCTTCATGTTATAGCACTATTAGCAGTTTCATGGAATTGTATGTGTTTGAATGGCCCGAAACAGCAGTTTTTTACCATAGCGCCTTTTAGTTTAGTTGCAGAGATTATATCTTTTATTCTTATCGAGTACCATCTTTTGGGTCAACAGTTTACTACAAAGTGAATCTTCACACTACGCAATGCGGAACATTTTCTATACAAAACGATCGCATTTTATATAAAGATTTATATTATTTCGATTTTACTACTATAAAATTATAAGTAACATATATTTATATATATTTTGAAAGTCTTGGAAAAGTTTTTGTAATTGAATAATGATAATAGTAATAACAAATTAAACTTAGATATTAATAACATAGTTTTAAGTAGTGTTTTCAAATTGTAATGGACATTATTTTAAGTGTGTAGCTGCAAAGTGTATTGTAACCATAGCAATATGAACCAGATCCACACGGTATGAGTGAGTAGCTCCTAGCGACCCCCACGCTCATAACACGGAACTTGCAGTGTTCAAATTAGCTTAGGTCCAGTCTCATTCTCATAGTGTGCCTAAAACAATATATAATCAGAGAGCAAGTATTAATAGGAACTGTTTGTTATCGTCTAATGGTTGCCCGCGCACGAACATGACGGGCGGAACAGTGATAATACTGTGATGCATTCAGATACTCAAACAAAACTATTTCAATCGATACAAAGTTGAAATACAAGTTTTTAGACAGGTTAGCTGTCTCGCCCGTAGCGTGGAGGTGTGATTAAAGGTGATATGAACGCAACGGTCGCTGTTATTACCATGCCAACACGGCACATTTTGTGTTAGGATAGGTCCACATTTGTGACATTACAATATATCTGACCTACCCTCGCCGTGTCCGTTACGCGTAAATGTCACAATTGTGTACTCACCCTTAGGATTGTAAGAGTAGATATGCTTGACTTGTGAATCTGTAAGCGGTTTAACTCATTTTCATTATTATAAAGTGCAGTATTCAAAAAAAAGTGAATTTGTCACTGAAACAATATACGTTTCCACGAATATTGTAAATCTACAATAGATTAAAATAGGTATTCGTTTGGCACCAATTGCCTATTAAAAATTACAAATTTGTCACAAAATTGGAATGTAGTCTCAAAACGTGAATGCATACAAAATGTACTGTGTAGTCATTGCTTAATCATTATGATAGAATATATATTGCTATTTAATTATAGTATTTCTAACGTTTTAAATTTAGATCTGTACTAGAGACATATTTATTTTTATATAGAGTCTTTATCACATGGAGAGAGTAGTTTTGTTGGTAAAGTTAATTAAATATTCACACGTATTTGACTGTAACAGTAGATGCTGATAAATATATTTGGTAGGTAATTTGGTACGTGACACTGGTACCGTTAATATATCCTGTTCTATGATAATCGAAAAATATATTTTAGGTTCTGAAAATGTTATTGATCACTAATTGTAAATGTATTATTAATTTACTAGCAGTTTTATACGTCGAATAAATAAAATTAGATGGCTCGATATTTTAACTGTATGTATCAGTGTTGGTGCTGAATTACACAGGCTCTGAATGTAGATGTGTTGACTGGCGTGGTGTGGTTCTTGTTGTTGATTTACTCTATTCGTTTTTAGCAGTCGTTTTAATCGACATTTATTATCCATTTTACAGTTTGCATTTTACGTTAGTTAATTTACTTAGGACCAATTTTGTTTTAAAGCTTTCACGTTTTTGCAGATGCATAATAACAATTTCTTTTTTTAAATATTTTAATTATTATATTTTTTCAATTATTTAATCTTTAGGTAGGTAGGTCCAACAAATTTTTTCAAATTATTATTGTTAAATTAGAAATAGTTAATATTGTAGTAGAAAACCAATTGTGCGCCTACAGTCGCTCTAGAAGATCAAAATGAATTATGTTTTCAATTTTTATATTTATTATATTACAACATACAAGATATGCATTCAAGCTTTTAATATCATAGTAGGTATTTTATATAACAAAAGTAATTTTCAAATCCATGTGATACAAACATGTAACAGATATGAAGATTATAATTATTACTAGATAGGTAGGTTTAATAAATTTTAAATTCCATTCAATAACGAGAAGTGTTTTATTTTTTTTCAACCTATCTTTGAATCTAAATTTTCTTTTCCTGTTCCAAGCATACATTGGTTATGCGTTATGTATGATCCATTCTCTCTATTTCATCCCATCCATAGGAAAGGCTTCCAGCATTCTGGTCATTATAGATTGATGATGAAGCGCATACAGGAGAATAAAGACGCCTTCTGTGGTGGACTTGGACAGTGTAGCTCTCTAGTCTAGTATAATAACTTATAACGATAAATTCCGAAATATTACTGTTATGTAACTGCAGTATTTTGTTTTATAAGTTTTAAGTATATTTTGTTTTTGCAAAATTAACTTGCTACTTGGAACTGAAACGAGGACTGCCATGACGGAGCATCGTGTGGCGTCATGTATCCATAAACTAAACGTCTTATGTTGTGAGTAAACATAGGGTATGTTCCGATATACACTGCGACCACTGAACAGTATGACGTCAATTTAGTATACTGGAAGCCCGTTCCTTTATAGCTAGTTATACTGGTGACTTTTTAAAACGGAACGCAGTCCAGTATACTGTTAATCCTATATTTTGGCGTCATTTTCAAATTTTTTAATGCAAGGTGAATATAAATATAAAGATTCCCTCTTTTCAAAAGAAATATTATAAAATTGGAAAATTGTATAAAAAAATTATTTATCCATCTTATAAGAAACGTAAGTATTTTTTTTTTGTTTATTTAGAAACTTATCATTTTCTGATTCTGTTTCGACTGATCACGTGATCAAAAGCACTGCGAGCACCTTACCTCGAAATCTCCAGTGCTCACAGTACAAATATGGCGGCAATTTATGACGTCATAAATTTCTTTAGGGGACTGTAGCAGTGTACTGGCAGTCCATAACGGAACGGATTTTTCAGCAGTAAGACAACTGCGCAGTGCTCGCAGTGTATATCGGAACATACCCATAATTATGCAACCAATAATTATTTTTAAATTAAATGTGACGTCAAGTCTCGAAATGTCACGCAATTTATCAGTACTACCGTTCAGTCTCTTGAATCACGCGTCTCTCTCATTACGGGATATTGGTAAAATTTCCGTGTATAACGGAACAAAGTCCATATCGAAAAAAAAAGTACGCTATGTAACTGTCAAAAGCTTTGTCTCCCATATTCATGCTAAGGCCTCTTGTTTTTTTAATAATACATGACTAGATTTGCGGAATAATTTTCAACAATAAATAAAATACATGTAGTTTGATAAAAATCTTTAATAAATAAAACTCACAATATTGCATTGTAATTAAAGTAATGTATATTTTGGATACTTTTGTGAATAAACAAAAAAAAAACCATTCACAAGAACTGAACAATGATATTGGTATACTTAAGACGCTCGATAATTGCTCTTCCGACAAAATCAGTAAAATTTGTCTAATTTTTTTACAGTACAGGCAAATAAAGGGCAACAAAAGAAGATACTTCCAAGGTTAGCTGCTCCAATAAAAGTTCACTGATATCTATTTTAAACAACCTACGTAGTTAAAGAAATTACTAATAATAATTCAGTAAAGAGCTTTTCCGCATTTCTTGAGCATACCTTCACAGTTTAATACAATTAATAATATTATTATGGGTCAGGACGGATGGTTTGAGAACGGTCGAATGTTAAGCGAAACTAAAAATATGAAATATAACATTACAAATTAATTGTTTTCATTAATGATATAGTATTGGCTTACTGGCTCAAGTTAAACTTAATTATACTAAAAATTACAGAGGAATTGATTAGGTACTTTTATGGCTACACAATCAGAAAATATTTCTTTATAATGAGAAACATAAAAACAAAATTTCCAATTTATATTTGGAACAATTACATATAAATTATTTATTAACAATATTTCAGACTAAGTTTCTTACATAGCTGGATTCGGAGTATTGAGACTCAAATCTTTAATTCCCTTGCATATAAGCAAAATCTCAATAATATTAAATAAATACTTATGATGAGGATTTTTATTCCTTTGGCAAAATAAACTTGTTCTTACAATGTACTTATTACAGATCAGCATTTATATTTTATTTTTTATTATTTTTAAATAAAATTAGTTCATAACTATTTAGTAATAAAACCATTATGTTGTGACTTCTTAGGGCTAGGTCCTACAATTTTTTTTTGTAACTTAAGATGAGCAAGAGTGTTGATTATCTAATGATAATTTCTGAGTTAACGCTCCCGTTATAGACTACAGTTATTCATTTCGATTGTTTTTACTGTCGGTAGACGTCGCTAATGTTCTAAATGGTTATTTATTTTATTCATAAGAAAACATATTGTTATACGGTCGTACATTTTGCGTTTATAACGTTATTACATTAGTGTAATGAATTATGGATTGATCTTACTTTTTTTAAAATATAATTTAAAAAAAATTGACAATTTACCACAATAATGTCTAATTACTGCAACGGATTCTGACCTCTACCACCAATATATCAAGGCTTAGAATCGAGTGAGGAAAATTGACTGTTTTGTTTAGTCTGATGACGTGTTGTTGACTGTACTCAAAGGTCTAAAGATCAATTTTGTTGAGATACCTACTACTAGTTCCTATACAATACAACATACTAAAACGCTAATAATTATAAAAAATTTTGTGCATTATTATTGGAGAAAGCTAAAACCGGTCACTAATAATATTATGTCATAAGCCCAAAAGATATAATTATCATTGTTAATGAATATCGATACTACCATTGGTAAAAACAAAATCGTCAAATAAAATCTTAAGTGACATCAATTAACAATCTTATCGGATCGGCCAAAATAACATATTTTATGTTAAAAAATTTAGGCCACATTTCTAAAACAGACTTTTAAAGCAATGTTACATAACATGAAAGCATTATTAGAAATCCGATAGTAGGTATTGGAATTCAACATACTTATCAATTTCTTGATGTTAATATACACCAGTGCGTCAGGTACACAAAACTGTCTCCCCATTTGATTTTAAGCTTTAATAAAATGCTAGTAAAAGTTTAAATCGATTGCAAAATGGGACTTTTTGTGATAGCGTGATGTGCTGCTGTGTACAGGATAAGCATCACGGTTTGAAATGAAAGTGAGTAAAGACATAGATAGTTCTATATCTATTTTACACCAATTACGTGTGTGCGGTCCATTGTAGTTAATAATAAGACAGTCAAACTGGCATATATATAACTGAGCTTAGGCAAGTCCTAAAGAGGAGGTATACTCTTGACTTTGTGACATTACACTGGTTTATACCTCCACCTAATGAGTTGCGTAAGCGCAGACAAGTCTAAGAAATAAAAAAATATTATTATATTTAATTTAATAATTCATAATTTTGCTTTATCGTAATATTAGAACCTCAGCTTTTAATAAATACTCTAACCTAGCCTAATCTAACTAAAGCTTACTTGTCATGGTCTCTTAAATATTGCAACAACATTCAAATTCTACTCTAGGAAAATGCAATAAATTGAAAATTTACAGCAATAACATGTGTGCTTCCTGGTAGTAACGTGCGCAGTCAGATTTTTTTATTATACTTATTCTAATTGAATATAATATATACTATCATCAAGAAAAAATAAAGTCTTAAGTCAGACAGGTACTGCAATTAAAAACATTCGTATACTTGATTAGATTCGACCATTGACATAATACACTACCGAAGTTTAAAAAATTTCGAATTAACATATCTTAAGTGTTAGAAGGGAAAAGATCGATTACTAATACATTAATTGTTCATTTCACTGCAGGCAACCCTATCTGTTAGTTGGCTGTCACTGTCATTATTGACTTTGACGTTTGAAGTATTGCGCCAATATGCTGGTTGTCATTCTTGTCACACTATTCGGAATCGGCATGGTGATTTTAAATGTAGCATAAAATAGTAATATGCGTCTTTCTATGGTTACAGTTCTCAAATATTTAATTAAGTATTCGAGATATTCTGACTGGGCACATCACTACCTCCCGGTCACACCGGGTTTTAGGTCACTTAAATATACGTTACAACACACTGCTCACAGATTACAATGCATGTTATGTTTATTATTTATTAATATGCAGTGTATCTATCTAACCGTGAAGATTAATTAGAATTCACTCTATTTATTTTTATTCGAGGCACAACGAACTTTGATGTAATTGATTGTCTAAATATCTTACTAACTCACGTAGGATGTATATAAATTATATAATGTTTATAATCACACATATTTGTTGGTTTTGGGCAGTATTCGTTATAATTATTTGCTTCGTTTCTTATTATTAGGTATATTAAGTCATGATATATATTTTTATTTGTTTATGCGTTGAGTTTTCTTATCCACAAATATTCCAATGTGTGCTTTGAAGTTACATTAATAAGGCTCAAATTTTGCCATTCACACACAAGATCTAAGTCTGGTATAGGCCGAGGCACGGTTTTTTATTCACAGTACTATATCAAGACTAGGTTTAAAACCAATTGTAGATATTTGTCAATTTTCTATAACCTGACAAGCTGGGACTGCGATCTATAAAACATACAAATATATCTTAGAACCTAAACACAAAAAAAAATCCATCTACAACACTGTAATATTGCAAAATATCTTAATACATATAAAAGGCCCTGATGAGTCAGTTCATAATTATTTTGTATAAGAAGAGACAAAAAACATAGTTACGTAAGATACGAAGATGGCACTACATATGGATAAACATATTTTTACACGTTTTATACCAATTGTTTAGTCACTACCACTGACATTCTACTCCCTATATACACATAACATAATCAAGTCAATACAAACGACCAAGTTTCTGTAAAAAATCTTGATTTATAAGAATAGATTAAAGTTTAAAATCAAAATGTAGAAATTTGTTATTTGTAAGATTTTAGCAACTTCGAATAGCAAAGTAGTTTTATTTTAATTATACATTTTATCTAGAAAGTTTGCCAATACCCACTTGTAGGCCTAATGCACATGTCCTGAGGTATAAGTTCATTACAGAATCGTAGTAAAAATATAATTTGTGTATAGAG